ATGTGGTAAATCTTCAGTTTAGTCTTCAGTGTTGCCAAGAAACACAGTTATGTTCCTCACAGTAGCTGCTGTAAAACTTTTCAAGTTTCAAGATTTATCCTTAAATATTCAAGAAAAAGAAACCATGACAAATCTAGGAGAAAAAGACCATAATGATATCTCCACGCTTATGACAACCTGGAAGGGAAGTCTGGGGCTGTAAACTCTAGACTTTAGGACAACAGATTTCATAAAGGTCTGAGAAAATATAAGCATGAATTCTACTACAAGAGTTTCTAAAGGGAAAGATGATTTAAGAGGGTTGGGAAACTCTTAGAACTGTGAATTTGATTATATAATTACAAATCATCTCAGCAAGGAAGTCAATGTGGCTTTTTAAATATCCTGGACTATAGGTACTAAATATGAAAAGCACAGAATATGCTCTGGTACATAATAAAAAGCAGTGATCCCTAAAAGCCAGCAAGGTTTCACTAGAAGGATTACCTGTAGGTTTCTGATAACATTACAGGACTGAGATCCACGGAAAGGGGGAGGCGGCAGTGTAGAGAGGTGAACAAGGCTCAGCTGAGACCTCTCGTGACAATTCTAAGAACGAGATGAAAAATAGCTTTTCTAATAACTGGAGGTTTCCAGTACTGTAACAATCTTGGGCTTCCTTCAACCAGAGACCCTGGAGGGCCACTAGGGGTGCCGGAGAAGCAATGCTTACACCACAGAGGGCACCGACACTAATGGACTCCTAAGTCCCTTCCAAAGCTACTGAAACTATACCTTCTATAATGTGTAAGTTCTATAATGTGTAAAGATTCTAATTTAGAATCTTTAACAAAAGGTTTAAATCTCTTTTGTTAAATATTCTAAATTAAGAGTTCTCCACCTGGTGTTGATTTTGGAATCAAAGAACCTTAGTTCTCACCATTGTCTGTTCCAAACATCTTCTCCTGTGTTTTCTAGCTTGATTCATTGTACAGCATCTTCCTAGTCTGCGTTGGGGGTCATCAAGTAATTTTCATCTACTCATCTGACCAGCCAGCAAACATTTACTGAGTATCCTATCCTAAAGGAGCTCACAGCCAAGAAAACTTACATAAGTAATTACAATACAAACAGATGAGAACCACAAGAATGGACTTATTGGAAACTATAAAAAGCACCTAGGAGGGAGGACTTAAGAATGAAAGAACACTTTTCAACTGAACCAGTAGTAGAAGTTTCAGAGTTGAATACCTATCACTAAGTGAACTCTGGGGAGAGGGGGAAGCCACTGTTGGGACATGGAGTGGAGCGTGCAGAAGCCTGCAGCTGTGAACAGCCAGCCAGCCTGGGACACACAAGCCACAAGGCCTAGTGCAGGGAATGGCAGGAGCTGAGGCTGCTCTCAGAGGACCCTGGTCAAGTGCCAGCCCCACCTACCCAATCACCCAAGTTGGAAGCCGGGAAGTTCATCCAAGATTCTGTCCTCCTCCTTCATGCCCCATTTGCAATCGGTCATCATGCCTAGGAGAACTGACCTTCTTTGTCTCCTTTGAATCCTTGCCTTTTCCTGGTTTGTTTCCCTCACTGCAACTCCCCGCCCGCAGGTTCTCCCCATCTCCTCTTACCACAGGAGCCTCTCATGACTGCTTACTTCTGGTCATGTCCCCTCCCATCCGCTCTGGACTCCCAGTGAGTGAGCTGTTAGCCAAGAGGCTTCCATTCTCCAAGAAACAATCCTGGATTTCTCTCTTCATTCACCTCTTCTAAACTTCCAGAAAATTACTTTGTTCCTATGGAAGAACTTGCAATATTCTGCTTCATACTGTAATGGGAGCTCAAAGACACGGGCCTGAATTCAATCTGTCTGCTTTACCCACACTCCTTCACAGAGAGCTGAGCCCCACAGTCCCTGCTACCTGGGCATGGGACACTGGACCCCTACCTCTAGTGAAAACTACTGACCAGGGCATATACTGTCTCCAACCAGATCAGTAAGATTTTCTACCCTAGAAGTCCTGTAGTGTGATCTAGACTTCAGTATGTGACCTGCAGAGGACCAGCAGCACCACTCTGGGGCTGTGTAGGCCACTCAGCAGGTAGGTGGCTGCAGTGAAGAAAACAGTACAGCTTGTGTGTAGAAAGGGGTAGAGAAAGGATACCCCATGGTGGCTGGGCTTGTCAGGGTGGTTGAGAGAGAAGCTGCCACCTTGCTGCTTCTGAGATCTTCATGAGACCTGCCGAAACTCCTTGCCCTGATTAATCACCACTTGTATTTAAGTCAAGTAGGAGTCCATTTCTTAGAATTAATCCTGTGACATTTATGTACAAGTTCTTCTGCACTAAGCTGTAATTTCTTTGAATAAAGAAACCATAGCTGCCTACCATTCTATTTCTCATATAATACAGCACAGTGACTTACACATAGTTATCAGCACTTGTTTCATGAACTAAATTTTACTACAGAAGAAGTAAATGACTTTGGACTTGAATAATCAATATAAGAGTAGAGTGTAGGGGCAGGAAATAAATTCAGAAGAAGGGCTCTTTGGCTAAACCCTGTTTTTAGGCATAATTTCTGCAGAAGCTGAGCACACACGTTCACATTCACAACGAGCACTACCTTCCTGCTCCTGGCCGGACTGGCAAAGAGAGAAGACCCAGCCAGTCACAGCACAGTGTGTTCCAACTGGGAAGCAGTGACCTCAGTCCCTAAAGATCAGTAACTGATAGCCAGAACCAAATGGCAAGGCGACCACCAACGTGCTCAGCAGCTGCAGCCTGCGCCCCTCATGAGACAGACGTCATCTGAGAACCACATCATGGAAACCTGCCACATTGTACTTAAGATAAATTTTCTATTTTTCACATAGATTTTTAAAGGCATATTTCCATAAAAGATCATTTTTAATGTCTTTACAGTAAGGAGGCAGAGAAGGAGTTATCCAAGTTTTCCATCTGAGAATCTTCTAATGTTCTCATTTTTAAAATTACATAATTAACATGGTTATTATTTTTAAATATTCCTCATTTAAATTCAGCAAATGTCCTCACTACTTCAAAAGCTTGACTCCTTTTTCAAATATTATTGTACTTTACTTACAAGAAAAAAGAATTCTTGATGAAGTGATGGCTCAGCTGTTTAAAAAAACCTGCGAGGTCATTAGAGCACTAAAAGAAACTCACACCCGGAAGATTTCCTGACTACACCCTTAGAACTTGAAAACCAAGGAAGAAGTACAGTCAAGTACACACAATGTCTAAGACAGAAAGTCAGATACAAGACAAGGCGGGATTTCCTGCCTGATGTGAAAGTATCCCCTTTCCACTGCCAAGCAGAGCGTGGTAGCCGCAATCAACAGAGGCCAGGTGGCACTGCCACTATCGGGCTCTTTGAGTTGATGGTGAGAAACTGGCAAGCCTCTAAGAAGGACTACTTAGGGCTCAAGGGGTTGACGTCACTTCTGGATAATGAGTTCAGCTTAAAAATGATGACACTGCAATCACACCACTTGAGAGCAAAAAAGAAAGTGCAACTGTTCCCGAGTGGCTCTGAGATCCCACAGTCACACCGACCTTCCTGTCACCAAAGGAGCGGCACAGGGCAGTGTTACTAGATGGCACTGGGTGTGGCACACAGATTTGACTCGGCTCACTTCACGAGGCCCAAGGGGCTAAGCACAGAGCAGCGCATCGCGGCCCCCAGCCCAGCGCTTGCAACCACCGAGTGTTCCCAGGAGGCTCCACCCTTCACAGGGCCAGCAAGCAAGTCACCCAAACGGACAAAAAGTGTTAGAACAGACTTTTTTCTAGCTTGTATGCTTTTATTTTCATTTCCTGTGAAGCATAAACTAGACGCCATCAATGATAAAGAGCTAAAGATTTAGTTAAAACTTAAGGTTGCTTTTCTTTCCAAACGAATACCAACTGTCAGAAGAAAATAGGTACAGCATTTGATCAAACAGCTGGGTCCAGCAGTTTTCAGATCAAAATAAAGTGGCTATCCATGACGCTCTGTGCCTATGTAATCCATACGAATTTAGATTGTTTTCTGACAGCTCCCATAAAAAATATGGTACCCTTTTCCTGCTTACAATTACTGCCATACGTGAAACTTCTGAAGATCAGTACCAAAAAAGCACATCATTCAAACAAACCTTATTGATATTTAAAGCATGGGAGATTGGGGTGCCTGGCCTGGAACTTGCATATCTCAACACTAGTGTCTGAAAGGGGGCTCTGATTGTTTAATGTGATGAATTCTTTACAATTCACAGGTAACAAGCCAGGATTTGTGACATAAGAGGATATGTGCAAAGGGTCAGAATGTGCTGCCCCTGGTGTGGCTCAGTTGGTTGGAGTGTTGTTCCTTAAACTGAAAGGCCTCTGGTTCAATTCCTAATTAGGACACATGCCTGAGTTGCAGGTTTGGTCCCCAGGTGGGGTGGGTATGAGAGACAACCGACTGATGTTTCTCTCTCACCTTGATGTTTCTCTTCCTCCCTTCCCCTCTCTCTAAAAATCAATAAACATGCCCTTGGATGGGGATTAAAAAAAAACAAAATAAACAAATGTGCTTATATTTTATGTCAAAAAACGAAAACAGCCCTGGCTGGTGTAGCTCGGCGGACTGAGTGTGGGACTGTGAACTAAAGGGTTGCCAAATTTATTCCCAGTCAGGGCACATGCCTGTGTAGCGAGCCAGGTCCCCAATAAGGGTCGCACGAGAGGCAACCACATATTGATGTTACTCTCTCTGTCTTTCTCCTTCCCTTCCTCTCTCTGAAAATAAATAAATAAAATCTTTAAAACAACAAAAACAAACCAAAAAGGTGATTGCCTGGCAACGTGAGGTGACCACCTGAGGTGATAGCTAAGGTCTATTTCTTAAAAACCAAGACCAAAATATATCAAGTACTCACGCTTTAATAAAGAAATCATATTTTTTTTAAAAAGGTTACTGAAAGGCCTCCTAAACCAAGTTCTGTGTGGGATCTGTGGTTTTCTCACCAGAGTTCACCTACCCCAGGGCAAAATTGCTGTCCTCCTTCCAGTCCACGATGCGGCAGATGAATAGTGTGTTGGCATAATCTTTGGGCCGGGTCACAAATTCTCGAGGACAGTCCTTGAGAGGCACGTATATTCTAGGCACTCGGTGGTCCACAGGAGAAAACAGGGCATATTTCCTGAACAGTTCACTGTTCTTATCGGTCAGCAGTTTGAGGAAGCCGGTTGCTGCCCGAGAATGCTTTTTCTCCACGATGTAAACCACCTGCAAACACCAAAGACAAACTCAGTGCTGTTTATCTGCATGCAGGACCGGGTACAAGTCCGCAGGAAACTGTTCGGCCGACCAGCTGGGTCCCTCAGTTTTTCCAGGTCCATATGGAGTACCACTTAGTGAAACTGTGTGACCAAGTCATTGATATTTGCATTGGTGAGGGGACTGGGAAGTGCCCTGCTGCTTGCTACGCTGTTAGGAGACCCTAACTGTAATAGGTTGCCTTCCCGGTTTCCCTTTTTAGAATTCGCCTTTGGTTGTTTCTTGTTATTTTTCAGGGTTTAGAGTTGTACTTAGTAGGGAAGAGCAAGGAGAAACGAATCTATGGCATCTTGTCTAAACCAGAAGTCCTTGCTTCTTGTGTCAATATTTGACAGCATCAGAAGTGTATAAAGCAGCTTCACGTCACTTACGATTCTTATGTGAGCTGTCATAGAAATGGCTTTCCCACAGTGTAGGTTTCACATACGAGTGCTGTTTGGCCTTGTAATTTTAGTTTGAATTCATGAAGAAACTATCAAAAGAAAAAAGAACCCAGCCAGAAAGAGGGCACAGTTGGAGGGCAGTAGCAAATTACAAGCTCCATCTCCAGAGGGCTGCCTCTACTCAGCTCTGATTCAAAGTCATTTCAGAATGTGGGCCAGTGCTGCCGGATGTTTGGTTTTGTCAAAAGATGCCAGAGTTTGATTTTTTTTTATGTGAACACTCCAATTTTTTTTAATGTAAGCTACCAAGTCGAAATTTTTAAATACTGACAGGTCAAACAAAACACAAGTCTGTGAACCAGATCTAGCCCACAGGCTTCCCATTCGTTATAATCTTCCACACCTAGCATGACGCTGACATTTGGTTAGTATTCAAAATATATATTAAAATAAAGATCTAGGTAACTAACTGGATGAGCAATGGCAGTAACATGCATGCAATATAACTTAGAAATCCCTCATGTCACTACCCAAGAGATACTCTCCTGACCCACTTGCGAAACGGGTGGCAAAACCACACTCCCTGGTTAAAGGAGTGTGCCTGCGCATGCTTCCTCCACCGTGAGCTGTGTAGCTGGGGTCAGCTGTGTTTCACCCCATATCTGGCTATGGCACTAGTATAAGTAATTAAAAAATAAAACTGAATTATGCAAAACAACAGGATACAAAAACAATAGTCTTTGTTTCTGTGATAACTAAATTAAATACTTTGGAAAAACTAAGAAAGACTTCTTCAAAGCTTACTTATGAATTAGATATGGGCATGACAACAATAAAAAACCAGTGGGGTCAAAAACTACAAAAATCTAGTAGGGCTCGACACTAATATTGTTTCACCAATGCCTAAATTCTCACTCCACTCCAAATCACCCAAACTGGAAATCATACTTGCCACATTACAAGTGTGGTTAAACAGAAAAAATAATGTAGAACATCAATACACATACCCACACGCAAAGAAAATGCCTTGGCCCTTTATTCAAAGACAGGCAAATGAAGACATGTATATATTCAGAGTCATTTTAAAAAGCCTCTTTTTATGATACTCTGCTTCCTCTGACTATTCTAGCTGACCAACTACAGTGCTGAGAGTCACACGAGAAACCTCTGACAGGCAGCTCAGTGGACAGACATTCGGACAAATGGAGAAAATCCGTAGGCAATGACCTTTGCTGATCTTTGCAGCGACTTCTCTAGCACAGTGCTTGTGTCCTGTGGCATGGAGGTGCTCTTGTCTTTTGTAACTGGTGCACCGGCATCCTCTTGTCCTTGATTAAAAACGGAAAGAAAAAGAGAGAAGGGGAGGAATCAGTTACACGCATATCATTAGGCCTAATCTATTGGGCATAAAGACTCACGGGATTTTTAAATTCAGAACTACAAGAATTCTTGGATACCATTTTTACTCCCAAACTGCTCACTTTATCGAAACAGGAACCCAGGCCCCCAGTGGTCCGGTGACTTGGCTAAGGTCAATCACATCACCAACTTGCCTTAATGCTCACACTCAGCAGGCCACATTGTACCTATTTAACATTATTCACATGCTCAGCATCACACATGTGGACAGCGTCACACTAGTTTGAATTAACAAGTACCTATATGTCAAAATGCCAAAATAACTAGATAGTAAATACTGCCCCTGCCCACAATGAAGAATAGTCATAGGTTAATTTATTATGCACATCTGCTGAAATAAAACAAAATCAAAATAAATGCTAACTTTTAAAAGTACTTTGGTATCAGCCATAACAAACAAAATGGTAGGAAATAGATTATATTTATTAAATAAAAAATAAAAATGCCAACCTTTATTTTCCTGGCTTTCTTAGTGACATTATATAAAGAGTAAAGTACTTAAAGTCTTTTAATGTTTAACTTCCCCCTTTAAAAAAAACTTACAAAATGTACATTCACCCCAGAAACTGAGACCACGTCTCCCCAGTAAAGAGAGTCAGGTTCTGTACCAGAAGTACTAAAACCACTCATGAACAAAAGCAGCAAATTACATGCTTTTGAACACTTAATACTTTGTATTTTCATGTGTTACATTACACCACACCACAAAGTATTCTTAGCCGATTATACTGGAGTTTCTGGATTCTAAGGGTCACAACCAATTCACGTGGGACTCACTCCAGAGGGCTAAGAGACTTGTACTTACCATCATTTAGACATTACCAAGACTAGAATAAGTAAATTCTTTTCAGAACCAGCTGCCTCTTAGCAATACCTCAGCTTAAAGCCAGCTTTTACTGCTGTGGGCATCCCCTGAAAACACTGACATGATCTGACTTACTGGGGTTTAAGAATGGCCAACGGTTTGCTTTTCCATCTATGCTGAAATATCCCCACCACTGTGCCCACCGAAAGCAAAAGTCTCACTGTTTTCCAAAGTGAAAAAACAAACAAAAACCTTCCCATTGTTGATCACCCTGTTCATCAGTAAAACAGGGACAACATCCAAGTTCATCTTTTATCCTAGACCATATTTCAGAACTCGAAAATCATTGGCTACTTCCAGAACAACATCTCTTATACTCTTCAAAAAGAAACCACCCAAGTTGTTGATCTGTTCCATAACATATCTTGCCAGTGTTCTGCAGAACAAGGTATCAATTTGGGAAAGATTAGGGGCATGGAATTACCATGAACAAGCGCACTCTACCTAGTTATCTAATATCTGAGCTCTCAGTCCAAGAGCTGGCAGTCAACACAGGGTAGTGAGGGTTTTATCCCAAATCCCGGGCATACAGCTTCCTGTGGTAGTCACTAATGGCTCCATCTTATGACTGTTGCTTTAAATTCTACCTAACAAAAAGCAAGTCTTCAGTTCCAAAGGTGATGCCAGGTTGCATCCAAAGAAAGAGGGCAAGCCACAGCAGTGGGCCTAGTCATGATGTTCCAATATCACACCTGAATGTGACCTTTTCAGGTTCTGTGTTCATAAGAATGTCCTGGCAGAAATACAGCTAATAAGTTAACTAACAAATTAAACTAAGTTTTCAGCCCTGCGGGTGAGCATCACAGATGTGTGCAATAAATATGAAGAAAGACAATGCCAGTTAGAAAGGTGAGTCACCTTAATAGGCTTCCCACAACCGCATCTCACCACAATGAAGAGCAAAGCTGCCGACTTGATGAGAGAATCTATTGCACTGTTTAAGCACAAGATCACATATTTACTCATGTATTCCACGTGTGCTGATTGAGCACTGGGCACTGAGGATTCAGTGGCAAATAAAAGAAATACAGCCCCAGACCTTATAAAGCATATACCTTAATGTGGAAGTGAAATTCAATAAATAATCACTCAATAAACATAAAGTTGTAAGCTGTGATGAATGACAGGAAGGAAAAGTCCCTTAGGAGGAAGAGGAGAGGACATATGATTTACACCGAGAGGTCAGGGAGAGGCCCTGCGTGGAAGTGACACTTTGGCTGAGACCATGAAGATGGTGTGTGTGGGAATGAGGAAAGGAACCGAAGCGGGGGAGATGCCACTAGGGAAGAGGCAGAGGTGGGAAGGTCTTGTTACCTCCCAGGGAGAAGAAGGAAAAGAAGAGCATGAGGCTGGAGCACAGTGAGCAAAAACGTGCATAACAGGTGAGAATAACAGGCAGATGGAGTCAAATCAGGCGGAGCCTTCTAGGACTTAAGAATCCTGAATTTAAACCTAAACACAATGGGATGCTTGCTAAGAATTTTGTGCAAGAAAATGACACTGCCCAAGGTGAGATTCAAACAGGCTCTTACCTGCAGTAGTGCAGACATTGGGGATAGTGCCTACATGCAAGCATTGGAGATGGAATGGAAAGGAATTGTTTGAAGACCTATTTTGGAGTTGATCTAATAGACCTTGGTGAGCACTTGATATGAGAGTTTAGGCTTATTTCCAGCTTTTTAGCCTCTGCAGCTAGGATGATGAAGGAGGCATCATTATTGACAGGAAAGACTAAAGAATAAGGTGAAACTGAAGAGTTCTATTTCAGAGGCTCCATTTGAGAGGTCAGCTGTGAAAGCTTCAAGTGATAATGTTGGGAGACAGTTCAACACGAAGGTCTGGAACTCAAAAAGAGAGATCTGGTTGTGGCTTTAAATACAATGCTTGCGCTGAGAACTTCCACAATTATTAATTCTTTCCAGCCCAAGCTGCAGGAAAGAGATTCAAACCCAAGCCTGCTGAACTAAGTTCATGAAGCTCTTCTACTGCTATGTGCTCAAATGACAAGTAAAGCACTGTCACTGTCCCTGTCACTGGGAGGGAAGTAAAAGAACACTGCTTAGGAAGTAACTTGGGCTTTGAGGGATGTACAGATGTTATGAAGAGAGATGGGGAAGTTGAAGGGTATTTCAGGTAAAGGCCAGTGCTCGTGCAAAGGCCCAGAGCTGTGAGAGGGCCTGACACGGTAAAGGAGTAGTAAGAGATTTACTGTAGCTACTGACAGGTCAAGGCCACAAGTGCTGGGCTGGCAGGACCTGGGAGGGAGAGAGCAGCAAAGCCGACAGAGAGGTGGGATGGGTCTTGTGCCAGTGAGTCTCGTTACTGCCCATCATCCATTCTCTTCTTTCAGGATTAGCTGTGATGCTAAGCGGGGGCAACGAGAAAAAGAATTGGCCAAAAGGGTGTTTCATTCCATCCAATTAAAAGAGTGACAAACTCTGACAAATCTTTTTCCATTTCTGAATGAGGGGCCACAGAAATTTACAATTTCCAGAGAAATTCAATGAAAAGTATAATTGTTTTTCATAAATGAAAACATTTCCCTTCAGATCTCTCAAAATCAATCAACCAGGAAAACTTATTTCATGGGTCTCTGTCTCTCCAATGAAACGTAGAAATGACAACCCAAGTCCTCATAGGGGCAGGTGACATTCATGTTATAGCCACTTGCTACGCTGCACATCTGCCAGGCACAGTGAGTGTCAATGGTCATTGTAGGACCTTGCATCTAACCCCCGCCAGGGCCAAGGTGTGGGCACCAACGAGTCCCCTTCTTCACAAAATCCCCCCAAACAAGCCTCTCTCTCTCTCTGAAATAAAGCTAATGAAACTGCATGGTGCCAGAGCCTTTCCACAGTGTGTTCACACGCACTATGTCATGTGGTCCAGGCCGCAACTTCTTACCACAGGTAGGATGGGCACTGTCACCAGTTCTACCAAGGAAACAGGAGTAGAGAACAGACAGAGGCAGTCAACAACCGTATGCAGCGATCCTGGTGCTGAGCATGGTGATCTGCTCCCCACACGAGCAAGAATCAGAGCATCATGAAGAGAGCCATGGAAACCTACATCCAGATTCTGTGTAAGTGGTGATGGGACCCCCTGAGATGCTGGAGACAGCCCAGTAACGGTCCTGACTGTCAGTGGAGTGGCAGGCACTGCAAATGACGCTGTCTGTCCTCAAAGAGCTCATGTGCTAGACATGAGACAAAGATGACAACAGTGACAGTACATGGTGTTGATGGTGTTCTACAGATTCACCTTGATATGTCTAAGTTCAGGTTTTTTGAAAAACAATTCTACTTGCAATCACTAGTTTTCATAAATCTGTAGTTTAGTTCCTCAACTGCTATGGAAAAATCTCAGCCATTAACTTTCAACTTCTTCTCTGCTCATTTCCTTTCTCACCTCTTTGTGTGACTCTAAGTGAACTTTGATGTTCTCTATTCTCTCTCTGTGGTGTCTATTTGTCTTCCCGGATAAATTTTTCTTTATGTCTTCCCGTTTGTTTTCTCTTCAGCTTTATCCACTCTTCTCTTAAATCCATCCACTGAGGTTTTTTCTTTAAACTCAAATACATACTTTTCCTTATTCAGTGAGTTTTTCATTTCATTACAGGTCTGTTCATTTCTAGAAGTTTTATTTCATTCCTTTTCTAATTTGCTGTGTCCCATTTCACAGTTTCCTTTGCAGATATCTTCAGACTTATCTCTTATTTCTTAAAACACAGCTTTTCTAGGATGGGCATGATTCCAGCATCTGATGACGTTTATAAGAGGCTGTTTCTGTTGTTTGTGGTTGCTGGTGCTTCTTTCCTTGGGATACAATTCCCTTACGTGCTGAATAATTTGATGCTGCCAAGGTTGAGAAAATTTTCCTTTTGACAGAATGTCCACTTGATCTTGCCAGATACCTGAAGGTACTACCAGCCCTTACACCCATTCCAGACTTGAGATTCCATGGATGACCGGTCAGGATGAATCTGGGCTATAATTCCAGCCATAGCTGGAACGTCTCAGGTCTGCCTCCCCCTGATGGAAGACA